GCCGGCAGGCGGGGGGCACGTACAGCCTCGCCGTCTGGCCGCTCCAATTTAATTCTTGGGTTCGCTTTAAGATTTAGATGTCAATGACTTGAAGTGGTGTTAGTATGCCAAAATCTTCGTTAATCCCTCTTCGCAGTGTGTTGAACTGACGAATTAGGAATGATTCCTTCTGTTCCCGCTCGCGATGTGTACCAAATCCGGATTCTAAAATTGTGACAGTTAATTTCTCAAACGAGTGATCTTTTAGTTTTAGGTGTTTAGAGAGTGGCAGAGTGGGCTTCTTTTCGGTGTCAGATCTATGATTATTGAACCTCGTCCGAAATGGAGATTTTATTTGGCCCACGTACTGCATGTGACATTCCCCACACTCCAGTAAATACACAACGTTGGCGGTAGAGCAGTGTAGATCACTCCGAATTCGGAAGGTGAAGTTTGATCCCGTGCTCCTAGCTGTCTGGGTGGGGGAGACGTGTGGGCAAACCTCACATCGCGGACTCAGGCATGGTCGGCTCCCAATGTCCTCCACCGGGGTGGTCCTGGCCCTCACAATCATGTGTTTTAGGTTTCTAGGACATCTGAATACAACGCGTAATGGGGAAGGAATTATATCTCTCAGCCTCTCGCTTTGTTGGATAATATTAAAATGTATTTTAGAATTTTGTTAATGTTGGGCGTGTTGTTTGAATACGTTAAAACTAAGTTATTTTTACGATTCTCCCTTCGGTCCGGCGGCGTGCCAGTTAGCAGTTTATCGCGGTCTAGTGCCCTGGCTCTCTCGATTGCGCTGTCAACGACGGGTGGCGGATAATTTTGCTCGATGAGGGCGCTCGGAAGGTGGGCTGCATTGGCATTAAAGTCACCCTGGTCCAAGCATATCCGTCGGAATCTGTGCGCCTGACCATACGGAATACTAGTTTTACAGTGGCGGGGGTGGCAGCTGTTGTAATGCAAGTATATCAAGCTGTCTGTAGGTTTCCTGTGGAGTTTTGTTTTTAGACTCTCTCCTACCACCAGCACCGTGACGTCAAGAAAGTTAACCTCGGTTCGGGAGTACGTATGCGTAAGTTTAATATCTGGGTGTGCCGAATTAAAATCCCTGATGAACTCCAAAAGTTGGTCCTCCGTGTTTTCCCATATTAAAAAAAATGTCATCAATGTATCGTCTGTAAAAGGAGGTTCGCAGAGGTCTGTCGAAAGAAATGTTTTTTCTAGTCTATTCATAAAGATGTTTGCGTAGTTGGGAGCCATTCTAGTGCCCATTGCGGTTCCACTGACTTGTAGGAAAAAGTTATGGTTAAATTCAAAGCTACTTAGTTCTAATACAAGGCGGGCAAGTATTGCCAGAGTGCCAGAGTCGGGGAGGTCTTGGCGCCTTACGCTCTCGTACGCATCAATTAGCGAGGCAATTCCGTCGTCGTGGGGGATATTTGTGTAAAGTGAGGAGATGTCTAATGTTACCAGGAATGAGCCAATTGGAACTACGACCGTTGAGATTTGTGAGAGAAAATGGTTTGTGTCCTTTACAAAATAATGAAATGTCGGTGGAATTTCGCTAATAAGGCGGTCTATGAAACTTGAGATAGGTTCGGTTAATGTACCAGTGCCAGATATAATGGGGCGCCCAGGGTTTCCCTTTTTATGTATTTTTGGAAGCATATAGAAACGCCCTACCTTAGGATATTTTGGTTTGAGAGAATCAAAAATCGCCGTTGATTTTTTGCCCGTGTCTTTCAGGTCCGTGAGTGCGTGCAGAACAATGGCGGATTGTGCTTTAGTAGGATCATGTTCGAGTGCCTGATAAAATGACGTGTTTCGCAATTGGCGATGGCCTTCATCCAAGTAATCATCGGTGTTCATTATTTATTTTGGGGTAGCATTTTTTGTTTTAAAATTACACTAGTATTACTGTAGCTAGAAAATATTTATTATATATCACTATTTTGAATTTTTAAGCACAAGAAAATGATTGATAAATTCTTTCGATCATCAAATCAATGCGGAAGAATAGAATTAGTGCAATTTTAGCAAATTGTTTTCACGAAAACTTTGGTCTTTTGTTTGTCAAAAAGCTGTATTCCTTTCTTTTTTGTGATTTAGTTTTCTTGACATACGTTAGTTTCCTAATTTTAGTTTATATCATTAACGTTCTAATTTGAGTGAAAAAATATGACGTCACTGGCGAACGAAGTCGGAGGTTGAAATACAGCACAGCGCATCGATTTGCTAAGACCACTGCCTTCTGCTCGTGTTCAGTCCGATATAAAACTCTGATGGGTGATAATTATTCGATTTAAATACAAAACAGATGCGCATATTTAAAGCATAAAGCGGCAAACAAACGCTAAATAAAAGCAATTTTTGTTTAAAACTAATTGTGCGGAAAAGTTTCGATTTAAATTATACTAGAAAAAACGGTCTGATTTAGATCACGACTCAAGTCATCTTGATTTTTACTCTCCACCCTGGCTAGAGCCCTCGTTCCACTTGTATGTCAACCGATTTTGCGTGGGTGCTACCTTATTTCATTATGACATCGCCGGGATAGAGGAAATGGAACCTTTATTTTTTTTCCCCTTTCGAGTGAGGTAAGAATTGAAACCACTCCTTATTTAAGAAGTGCTGAAATCTGAAGATTTGGAAATGCGTTCTCGGTATGCTATATAAATGTAATTTTCATATAGGTATATAGAAACTACTGAGGTGGCAGCCTTCTACGCTGGTTATATCCCCCCCCCCCCCCCCCCCCGCAAAAAAAAAAACAATTTTTTTTTACGTAGTGTTCTAATGACTTTGCCTATTTTATTTTCGTCGGGCAACGTCTGACCTGATGGAGACCGTTTTTATAGTTTAAAAATAAATTTTGCTACTGAAGTAGAGAATGACCGCGTGCGCAGAAGGCATTCCTGTATACTTCAGTTGAGTGAATGTATTTCAGTGAACGCTTTATTCGTTAATTCGTAGGTAAGCTCTTCTCCGAATCTGTCAAAAGGCCCGTGAGGCTTTTCTCCGCATCGGAGAGTTTTGCTGTGATATTTTTTTCGGTAAGCTTTTTTCCGCAGCCCCGTTGTGCCAAGCTCCAAGCCATGTAGCAGCAAGAGAAATCCTACAAGGTACACTGCGCGACACTGTTAGCTGGAAAGAAGACCACGGCTCATCGCCGTTCTCTTTCTTTATTTGAGCATTGAAGGACTGCCATTAAAACTACTACAGTACTACGCTCCAAAAAATTTCTGCGCGTCTACTTACAAGCAAAACACTCAAAAACACAGTCTGCGATCTACGAAATCAGCTCAGCGAATGATGAGGCGGAACATCCATTTAGACTTAGAGATGAAGACTGCGCTGTTGCATTACCCATTGCGAAGCTTCATGCTTGCATTGCGTAATGCCACAGCGCAGACTTCATTTTGAGGTCTAAACGGATGTTCCGCCTCATAATTCGCTGAGCTGATTTTGTAGATCACAGAGATTGGCTCTTCGAATATTTTGCGGGTAAGTAGAGGCGCAGGCATTTCTTAGAGTGTAGAAAGTAGCCAGTTGGGCTGCCACTTCTTGTGGTAAATTATAATACGAGCAACTAACCGTTCAAGTTAAAATGCGGAAACGCCCCGAAGTTACGTTCGCGCTAACAGTGTCGCGCAGTTTACACAATGTGGTTTCAAGATATTTTCTTTAAACTCAATCCCCGTATAAAAAATCCGATATAATCAATGCAGTCACTGAGAACTGCGCATTGACCTAATAATAATATAATGTATTCAGTGATCTCCTCCAACAAGAATATATGAGTAACAGAATTTTGCGCATAGGGCTCATTTTAGGAATTCAAATTAGCTCTGAATCACCAAGTTCCTCAGCTCGGAAGACGCGAATATTAAACCTGATTCTTGCGTCACAGAAGCATATTTATGAACGAAAATTAACTGAATTAAATCGCAATGCTCTCTGTTAAACTGTAGGACTCTTGTAACGTAATGACTTCTGAAGTTATTTTTTGTTGAACGAGAGACACCACTACCTTCCCGCGTTAAAGATCTGCTGTGCAATTTTAGGAAGAAAGCGAGTCTGAAAGAGATGATTCATACTCTATGTTTACTCTCGATAGACACTCTCCTTTTGTGTTCCTATAAAAAGAGTTTTTTTGTTTCTTTATTTCTTTCATGTTTGTAAGGGTTCTTGAAGTCTAAACACCAACTGAGGACAAATAAATCCAGCTGTGTTAGAAACCTCTGTTTATCCGACCTTTCTCTTTCCCAGTCTCGGGGAGCTTTTCTGTCTTCTTTTCTTCTGCATCACTGTTTTTGCTGTCGTGAAGCACATGAAACCGTTGTTTCAAATTTTGTGACTCTCATTATAAATTCACGTATTTACTAGACGCTCCAAGTAGGCGGAAAATGATAAAACTCGAACTTTACATTGTAACGAATGACAATTAATGAGGTGACGAAAACTGAAGAAAACAAAACGTTTAATTGGGCGAACTTGTGCCCAAAGAAAAAAGGAAGCAAAAGATAACAACAGAACGTCGCAGGCGTCGAGGCTGGTCTAACAGCTAAATCGAAACGCTGGGACGAGACTGACTGCGGCTCGCCACGCGGAGCCCCTTATGTACACGCGTTGGCTTCTGGAACAGTCGGCGTAAATGGTTTGGCCCGTAGAACATTGGGAATTCGCACAAGAGACAGGGCTCGCGAATTTACCAGAACATTAAACTAAAAGAATAAAAAGATGCGGAAGTCCCAGGAATCGATCACTCCGGGCATCCGCATGAGCGTCAAGTGCGGTAACCACTCGGCCAGGCACGCGCATGCACGCCGACGCGCGTGGCAATATCAAATTCGCTTGTCGTTCTCAATTTAACAAAAAAAAACAAAAAACAACTGTAACAAGCCGGAAATGCTAATTTGCAAAAAAAAAAAAAATTATACAAAGAGTGGCAAAGGAATAGGTAATAATACTAATAAAGCATGCTGACCAAAATTCAGATCAACGGTGCTTACCAGCCTAATGGCTTGAGCGTTATCATATATATATTCAACTGCGTCCGTAAAATCAGCCTGGGCCAAGTTGAGTTTTAACAGAAGGCATAACACGGTGGCTTGCATTGTCCACGCCATCTGGTTAACCTATGAAGAAAAACTGTGTGTAAGCAGAGTATTTTTAGGTGGGAAAATACAGTTTTTATGCAATCAATAGTCAGAATTTATTTAATGTTCTTGTTAGAAATTGCTCTCCCCCCCCCCCGCAAGTTTTCATCTTCCTACACTACTATCAACATCAAGCAAAGAGCAACACACATGAAAGCAATAATATTACAATCATTTAATTGTTTGTGAAGAATGTAGGTAGAAGTAATGCGCTAGTTATCAAAATGCTCCAGTAAACATCAAATGCCGCAAAGGAAAAACGAAACACCGTCTGACTAGAAATTGGTTCCACCGTTTCACCACGTTTCACAAATCAAGAAACAAAACCAAAACCAAAAATTTTAATTGAAACGTTTTTTAAGCCCTATTGGGCATGGACTTACGTTTCTCGTGTCATTATCTATTTCACTATGCAGATTTAGGAGTAAATATTTTCCCAAATGTCTGATTGCACTGCATTTTTGCGTACATACTTTAACTTTGCGTGCTTGGCTTGTGATCACAAAGAGTGTGCACGTATAAAAACTGCTCTGTACTCCCACAAAAAAATTAGTCCTGAGGACACTTCAGCATCACCTTTGACAGCCCTGTTACACGGGCACAATTAACTGCGGTTAACTCAGCTTTAACTGCTGCCACGCGTCACCACAGTTACCGCACCATAGGACCGTAGGAGGATATAGCAGTAGAATTTCATCTCCGATAGGAACTTTTCCGGAATCCAGATGGCGCTGGGAAGAGAGCCTTCCCACTCACCTGCTTACGCGATATAGTGCTATTTCAAAAAAAAAAAAAATAAAGAAAAAGTTGTCTTTTTTTTCCGGTTAGGGAGCCTTCATGTGCGCCTTGCTAAGGTGGTGGCACCCTTTGTAATACCACTCGCCGACAAACCAGCAGCCATTTTGTTCTCGGCGATAATTCGTGCGGCTTATAACCCTCCCGGAAACAAGCACCTTATCTCACAAGTTTGGAGCAGCGTTGTGGAACCCACGGAGGGAGGATTAGCATTTCCCCCTCGGATGGGGGAACAGATGGACACAAAGGCCACTTTCCGGCGCACGGGAAACGCACGGGGAAACAATGAGGAACAAAATGGCGGCGGGAGAAAGGGAAACAGGCAGTTGGCATCACTCTATGCGAAGCGCACACGAAGGCACCCTAGCTCCGGTTATCAGCGGACGGCTTGACCCTGAAAGCGCCCCACATAACCTACCCATCCCTTCACCCCGCCATGCAAGCTGCGAAAAGTCTTTTTTTCTTTTTTTTTTCTGCAGTTTAGAAAGAGGATAGCAGTAAGGGTTGTAGGCCTCCAAGCCCATCGCGAAGGAGGCCCTTTGTCCCATTCTTACCGGATTAGGAAGAAAAAAAAACGCCGTTAGAGAACGCATCATTTCGCTGCCCGGTTTTACTTCGGAAAAATATCTTTCTCCGTTTTTTTGGGGGTATTTCGTGTTCCGAGAATTTTCGCACGATACGGTTTTTAAATAGCGTGTAGATTAATAATAATAATAATAATAATCGTTTATTTCACCATAAGATTTTTATGGTGGCGATCAGAAACAAAAAGCTGTAGAAAACAGCTTGACGAGGTCCCCGAACCGCCTACGAGCAGCAGAGCAGCGTGATACTCCCAGTATAAAATACATACCGAGCACAAGCTATAGAAAGGATATCAGAAAAAGACCTTCGTCATCACACACTTTGTTAGGGCTGATTCACAGGATTGTTAACTTTTTGTCACTTTCTAGTTTTTGAAAAAAAATGAAAAAAGATACGTGATACAATCGCGACATAACTAATAAAAAACAGGAGAAAAGGGTTTATGCACACGATCGACATAAAATAGAAGGGTCCGAATATCCTTGACAGATAATTTCTCCCAATCGAAGTTTTGTTCGGGAAATAAATTTAATAATTTTGGAATAGTGTATCTGAGCATTTGTGTTCCGTAGTTCGTTCTGGGAGTGACCACCTCCCAACAGCTCGCAGAACGAGTGGGATAAGGATGAACATATTGGGAAAGCCGTCCAAGGCTCACTAGAAAGCTAGTATTTCTAATTTCTTCCACTTTTAGAGTAGTGGAAAGTCTGTAGTCGTAGAGAGAATATATACTAATAATGTGGAACTTCTTGAATAGATTGGCTGTAGGATGAGCAAAATCTACATTCGCGATTGCCCTCACGGCTTTTTTTGCAAAAAATTTATTTTATCAAGATTTGTTAATGTCGTCTTACCCCAGACTAGGTGGCTGTAAATTAAATGGGAATAGAACAAGGAGTTACATCACTGGCAGAACAAGAAGCAACCATACAGCAGGGCCTCAATGTTATCCGCGATTATGTACAAAGTATTGGACTCAGTTGCTCACCCGAAAAGTCGGAGTACGTAGTTATCCTAGATTCCAATACTAAAGATGCCGAGAAGACTAGGGACCTCATCCGTCTCGAACTCAACGGAACAAGTATCCCACGGAGACCGCATATCAGGATCCTTGGGTTCTATCTGAGCCAAAACGGTAAAGCCGACCACTGGCTTAAATTAGTCACCAAACAGATCAATCAGATCATCCACATACTCGGGCGAATCACTCGCAAAAAGCGAGGCCTCCGCGAGCACGAACTCCGGAAAACCATCGAAGCCCTAATTACCTCCAGAGTGATGTATGCGGCGCCCTACATGCGCCTTACAAGGACGCAGCACAAACATTTAGAAACACAACTGCGGAAGGCAACACGACTTGCCCTTGGGGTGCCCCGTTTTGCACCGATCAAGAAATTACAAGAAACAGGCCTCTTTAACACCCTTGAGGAGCGCATCAGCTTCCACCACTCCGCCCAGTACCAGCGCCTCCAAACATCCACACAGGGCAGGAACATCCTCAGAAGTCTTCATTTCGACATATCCAACATGCCTGACATCCCGCCACTGGAACCACCATGGGACAGTGTGCCAAGAATAGAGATCAGGCCAATACCAAAGAACATGCACCGCATCGAGAACAAGGCCCGGCGGGAACACCGCACATTCCACCTTTCACATAACACTACCACCACATACTACTACACGGACGCCAGCTACAACAACGAGACAAAACTAGGCAACACAGCTGTTGTTGGCCCAGAATTCAAGAAGGCCCATCACCACTCCAACGCCCCTACGTCAACATCACTTGAGATCCAGGCCATCGCAGAAGCCATCCAGCAGCACAATGGTACCGACAACATCACCATACGCACAGATAGTCAAAGCGCCATACGCCACTTCAGACAGAACACGCTACCGGTTCACATCAGAGCTGTACTAGTCAAGCATATGTACGAACACCCCAAACTCCACGTTTTCCTAGAGTGGATACCAGGTCACCAAGGGATCTAAGGGAACGCTCTAGCCCACGAGCTCGCCCGCGACCATGCCCCCCGGGGCCCTCCGACTCCCTGGCCGCAGGACTACGACCCGTACGATCATAGAAAGATCCTACACAATGAGCGCACCCGTGCACTTAAAGAACTCAGGCATAATAACACATCACTAAGATCTCCATCGCGTATGCTCAACAGAGAGGATGCCACCATCATACGTAGAGCACAAACCGGCACGCTCCTTACGCTACACCACAAGCACCATATCTCAGGAGCGCCAGGTACGCCCAGATGCAGAAGTTGTGGAGGCTACCCGAACAATGAGCACCAATTATGGGCTTGCACAGGCGTCATACCAGCCAGAAACGCCATCATAAGCAGGTTGCCACCTGCACATCGCCCCCAGAGCTGGGAGGATTGGATTAACCCCCCTTCTGAGTATGAGCCTACCCGTTGGCCCCTCCTGGTCCAGCACGTGAAAAGCACCCTGGACGAGGAGTGGTGACCAAAGCAAGCATCGGACTGGATGCAATAAAGATGTTTGTTCTCTCTCTCTCTCTCTCTCTCCGTTTTTTTTTGGGGGGGTATTTCGTGTTCCGAGAATTTTCGCACGATACGGTTCTTAAATAGCGTGTAGATTAATAATAATAATAATAATAATCGTTTATTTTACCATAAGATTTTTATGGTGGCGATCAGAAACAAAAAGCTGTAGAAAACAGCTTGACGAGGTCCCCGAACCGCCTACGAGCAGCAGAGCAGCGTGATACTCCCAGTATAAAATACATACAGAGCACAAGCTATAGAAAGGATATCAGAAAAAGACCTTCGTCATCACACACTTTGTTAGGGCTGATTCACAGGATTGTTAACTTTTTGTCACTTTCTAGTTTTTGAAAAAAATGAAAAAAGATAGGTGATACAATCGCGACATAAGTAATAAAAAACAGGAGAAAAGGATTTATGCACACGATCGACATAAAATAGAAGGGTCCGAATATCCTTGACAGATAATTTCTCCCAATCGAAGTTTTGTTCGGGAAATAAATTTAATAATTTTGGAATAGTGTATCTGAGCATTTGTGTTCCGTAGTTCGTTCTGGGAGTGACCACCTCCCAACAGCTCGCAGAACGAGTGGGATAAGGATGAACATATTGGGAAAGCCGTCCAAGGCTCACTAGAAAGCTAGTATTTCTAATTTCTTCCACTTTTAGAGTAGTGGAAAGTCTGTAGTCGTAGAGAGAATATATACTAATAATGTGGAACTTCTTGAATAGATTGGCTGTAGGATGAGCAAAATCTACATTCGCGATTGCCCTCACGGCTTTTTTTGCAAAAAATTTATTTTATCAAGATTTGTTAATGTCGTCTTACCCCAGACTAGGTGGCTGTAAATTAAATGGGAATAGAACAAGGAGTTACATATTAATAATTTAACATTTGTTGACAGCACATAGCGGTTGCGGTTTAGGATACCGACTATCTGTGATAACTTCGAGGTAACATAATTGATGTGGTCGTCCCAAGACATATTTTCGGAAAAAGTGACACCAAGCAGTTTAAAAGCATTGACGATCTCAATGCTGGTTGAGTTTATTACGATATGTTTGGTGATATTTACAAGTTTGCTCTTGGGACGTAAAAGCACGGCTTTTGTCTTTGCAACGTTTATTTGTAGCGAATTGATGCGGCTCCAGACGTTCAACTTAGAAAGCGCCAGGTTTGCCGATTCGAACAGCAGATCAACGTTTTCCGCAGTGAAAAGTAAAGTGGTGTCGTCGGTGTAGTTTACAAACTTTGCTCGGAAGTAATGTTAACAATATCATTTACAAATATATTAAAAAGAAAAGGACCCAATATACTACCTTGTGGGACACCAGAAATGATCGGTTTTGTAGTTGAGGAGTGCCCATCAATACAAACAAACTGCATTCTGTGTGCCAGGTAAGATTTTATTAACTTCAGTGCGTGCCCTCGAATACCGTGGGTGTCTAGTTTTTCAATTAAAATTTTATGACTTAGCCAATCGAATGCCTTTGTGAAGTCTACGAAGATACCAAGAACCATCTTCTTTTCCTCGAAGCTTTGAAGTATGTGTTCTTTCTGAACAAGCAGAGCAGATTCCGTTGACTTTTGTTTTATGAAAACAAACTTTGAGGCTGTTATTAAGTTGTACTTATTAGAAAAGTTAATTAGTCTTATGTGAAGCAGTTTCTCGAGTATCTTCGAAAACACAGGTAGTATCGGAATTGGCCTATAGTTTCCCATATCGTTAACACTCCCTTTTTTATGTAGGACGGACACCTTTGCTATCTTCATAAGTTTAGGAAATACACCTGTGGTAATGCAAAGATTAAATATATGGGTTAGTACCGGCGCCAACGCATGAACAACATGCTTCACTGGCCTTATCTGTATGCCATCCGCATCACAACTACCACTATTTTTAAGTTGCAAAACTACAGAAATTAATTCGGCGTCAACGACTGGCTTTAAAAATATTGAGTTATTATTTCTAGTGTCACGAAACAAGGAAGAATTCACGGTGTTAGTTTTATCTGCAATGCTTATGAAATTTTCATTAAAGGCGTTCGCTAACGCATGCCCAGTTAGTTCAGCACCGTCATTGACAATCTTTACAATACAGCCGCGGAAGCGATTTCGACGTAAGAGGGCGTTCAATTCTTTCCATATGACATCGGCATGACCCTGCGCTGCTTTGAACACGTTAAAATGATAGCTTTGTCTAGCTCGCCGCAACTCTTTTGTCAAGCGGTTGCGATATGTTTTGAAGACTCTTAGATCGTTTTGATCTCTGGACTTCGCAAATCTGGCATATAATATAACGCATTTTTTGTACGAATTTTACAATGCAGTTCGGGCGTAACCCATGGTTTTTTAATGTGTTTAGAAGTTTTCATAGATTTGAAGGGAAAGTGTGTCAAATATTGCTGAGAAAACAATTCCATAAAAATATTCTAGGCCTCTTCGGCGGTATCCTGGTTGGGTACGCTATCCCAATTTATATCTGATAGAGCGGTTAAAAAATGGTCTAGTCCATCAAGTGTTATTTTTTGAAACATTGTACACTGCTTCTTATTTGCCTCACGTTTCATATATTTGTCAGAAATAAATATTGGGAGGTGGTCACTAAGATCGCAACATACAACACCAGCTTTTATATGCTCTGTCGAGCGATTTGATACGAACAAGTCTATTAGTGTTTTGGATTGGCCGGTAACTCGCGTCGGGCTGTTGATAATGTTTCTGCATCCGCCAGTATTAATTAAAGTCGTAAGTGTGCGTTTAACAGTAGTGTCCGTAGACATATCAATGTTAAAGTCTCCACCACAAGTAACATTATACTTTCCTTCATTGACAAATATTAAGAAGGATTCAAAGAACTCAAAGAAGGTTTCAAGACTGCCACTAGGGGGTCGGTATATAACAGCAAAAATATTATCTTTACTACGAACACAAAGCATCTCGTAATCCTGTGTGACGCAGCTGAAATCTTTTATTAATTCACAGCGAGAGTCTCTAGCCAGGATGGCCACACCTCCACCACGCTTCTCTGAGCGATTGGCGTAAAAAGAACGATACGACGGCAGTTTCAAAACATCAGCTTCATCCGTGTACCAAGTTTCGGTATGCATTATAACATCAAAATAAAAACCAAATTGATCGAAAAGCAACTCAAGGTCAAAAGCGTTGTTTTGGGCTGACTGAGTATTTAAATGAAAACACGTCACGCATGACATTAAATCTTTACTGAGATAGCTTTTCACGTTTTCCGGTAGAAAAAAGGCGCTTTCGGTCATTCACCCCAAAAAGGACAAAGAGGAAAAAACAGTAAGTGATATTCATAGAATCCTATCAAGGTCGGCAGCATCCGAGATTTTAAGCGCCCTCTCGCCGTCTTGTTTCCTAATAAACACCTTATCATTCCGGTGCCAGACGCATTGATAGTTATTTCGCTTTGCCCATTCTTTAGCCGCCCACAAAAGGGCCTTACTCTGTCTTGTCAAGTTTTCTTGGAAGAAAACGTTGCTTCTACTACGCCTCAGTTCTCCTTTTTTGTCAAGCCACCGGTCGCGAGTGGTCTGCTGTGCGAAACGCACAATTACGCCTGGATTTCTATCTTGCTTTGCCGGGAGCCTGTGTATATTTACGATATCGCCGTCAGTCAGTTCTGGAAGGTTTAGTCTTGCTCCAATTTCATTAACACGAACCAAGAGGTTCTCTTCTTTAGCTACAGGGATCTCGTAGATTTCGAGGTTGGGTCGCCTACTGCGCCATTCCATGTCGCTTAGATCGCGTTTTAACTGTTCAATTTCCTCGCCGGTTTTTAGTCGTTCAAGAGCTTCAAGACGCTTTTTCACTGCCTTTGTTTCATTGTCCTGATGGTTAATATGCTCGAGAATCTTATCGTACTTATCAGATAGCATCTCCATGGAAGTTTCGATTCCGGTCACGGCTTCTTTTAGACTCACTAGACTGTCTAGTTTGGCGTCGATGGTTACCAATAGTGTTGGCATGTCGACCACTCCTTCCTTTCTACCGGATGGGCCTTCTCTTTGTTTTACTCTCTGGCAAGTAGAACATTGCCAACTTTTCCACGCGCTTGCGTTTTTAAACTTGAAGCCCTACGGCTGTGACACCTGAGCACGCACCAAGATAGTAAAAAGAGTCACATTCAGAGCATGTAATAGAAACTTGTACGTCGAATTACACCTCTTTACATACAATGCAGATCGAATCTAGAGGCATTCTCGCACATCAACAAATCAAAGAAGTTTGCCTGGCAGCAGCAGCGCCGTAAATAAACAATAATTGGCCCAGATCCCACACTAACCTGTAAAGTTCAGATGAAATTGTAAGCGCTGTGCCACGAGCCGCTGCCGCTGCCAAATGGTCCTGCAGAGTCGCTGGTCTTGCTTTTATAGCTGCTA